TGAGTCCAATGCAGACATTTTTTAATATTTATCTCTTCATCTATAAGTGTTTTTATGTGTCTATGTTCTTCTATCTTAGGTGGAGATACGTGTACAAACCAGGCCCCCCCAGGGTCCTTGGTCGTATCTAGGAACAGAGGTGACCGACCCCGCCGGGCGCATCATCTTTAGGGTGCCAGACCAACGTCGTCTCAGCCTCGGTTTGCACTCCATCCGGCTTACACCTCTCTCTGACAGCACACACTTCGTCCAGCTTACCCTTGCCGTCTTGCCAATCAGAACAGAGATCGTCGTCTTCAGTGTCGATGGCAGTTTTGCTGCTAGCCTCTCCTTAATGGGAAAGGTAAACGTTTTGAGGAGGCGGGGAGCGGAAGGAGGGAATCACAATAAACCACAAAAATATAGTAAAACTGGTTTAATAAAATAATTTAGAAAGTTTTCCATGGGGAGGAAGGAGAAGCAGAAGAGAAAGGGGTAAAAGCGATTATCAGAGAAAATCTGGGACAGAAAATGAATCCATATAATGAGCTACTGGAATACATTAACGAAGTAATTGGCTCCACCTAGCCTTTATACTTCAATCACTGTTCGCTATTAATTAATAGAGTTGATGAAATTTTCATTGCCAAATTAAGATCTCTATCAATTTCGCCGTAGATGGCATATTAACTTGTATAAAGACACTAAACACTTTTGGGTTAGCACTCAAGGCCTGGTAAAGTGCATGCCATTTTATTGCTCCCACTCTTTAATTGGATGCTGACCTTCGTGCTAAGTGAAATGCTAATGACAAACGATAGCATATTTGCATAGTCCTTTTTTTCTGAGGTATTTATGATTGCACTAACTCAGGAGCCGAAGTGTTAAGCGCATAGTATTGATGTAACTGTCTATCAAGTTACTCTTATCTTATAGCTACATAGGGAAGCATAAGATATGCGTGAAAAAAATGGATAATGGTGTTATCGTTGGTCAGAATGTGACAGGTTTTGGCATCCTCTGCTTCAATTTTTTGTCCTATGTCACATTCCTCAAGAGCCAGATATCATTTAAAGTGAAGGCTAATATTGTAAAAAATTATAATGAAATTCGGCTGAAAATGATGACCATATATGGAGTTGTTTGTAAGTGAAAGAGGCCTGCCACACTCAGTGCTCAGGTCGTCCTCCCCATTCAGCGGAGAGTAGCACGAGTCTTCCAATGGCTAATGATAGCAGAAATTCACAATATCTTCAATTAAACTTCCCGCATGAAATATGGTGAATTCCAAGCAGTGCCACACAAGAGTCACGGAACTCCAACTATCCTGTGATCTTGCTGGTGACAAATCCAAAAATCATTCAGGTTGTTGTCACACAGCTCAGAAGTTTCATTTTCCAGATCAACATTCCCTCATTAAAATCCTTTCTAAGAGCTTTTTGACGAAATAAATTGCCCTTGTAAGGTTGGCACTTATTCTTAAAACAATCTGATGCATTTGCACTACCTTTTAATTTTTTAGGCAATATCAG